TCACACTGGGCTCTCCGGAACGGCACATGCTTTGTGCCCCAAGCAGTTAGATATCACGAACTAACTGAACAAAAACCTGCATTTGATGAAACACTACCCATTTAGTGCTCTCCACACACTTAGCTACCCCCTAAGTGATTATCCCCCTTCCATGGCTCAAGGTTTTCCTTCTTGGTTGTTGAACTCCTTACGTTCGGCTTGACGAAGTCGGCGTTGTTCTTTTTCCAAGGCTTGATACTCAAGGACTGTTTCTTCTGGGGAGATTTGATATTTCTGTCGTTTCATGCATGCTCGAAGCAAATCTACGGGGTCACCATCGTTTTTAGTTAACGAATCAGCCAGCATGCGATTGGTTGGAACCCACCGAACAAATGCCTGCATGGACCTAGCACTCTCTCTAATAATGACTACATCGATGCTAGTGCGACGATCTTCGATCGAGGTCGGCGACGACGGCGAGTGCAGATGATCATACAAACTTTTACAGTCTGTGACCACTATGGGTCGTCTTCGCTTCAAGGTCTCACGGCAAGTTCGAATGTCTAATGGCCCGTCCAAAATCTCAGACAGGAGAAGCAGCAGCCACTCTAAAGTGCCTGTGGCAACAGACATGGCCTGGCTTTCGGCGGCCAGAGTGCTGTTCACTGCACGACTCAACTTGAAACTTCTCCACGCAACCGGACACCAGAGAGCCTCTTCGCTCTCTTGCAGTTTCTTTTCTGTAAAACCTAGGATATATCCTGCTTGGGTGTGGTTACCTCGATTTGCAAACGCAGCATCACTGTGACAAACGATCGTGAGATCCTTAGGATCTATTGGGGCAAAAACAATGCCTAGATCATCATGCTGTTTGGCTCTCCGGATGGCCTGGTTAGCCATGCGATAGTCACTGATGGTTGGCCGAGGAAAGGCCTGTTGCGATAAGCTCGTCTGGACACTCAGATCCGGACGACTCTGAGAGGAAAGCCAGTTCAAACTGCCGTTGACGGCTCGGAGAACTTTGATCTGAGAGGCATCCAGCAGTCTGTCTGGTGGACTGCCTTTGGGAATGTTGATCGGTCTTATCTTATCTGCGAAAGCCTTCATGGTCATGTGTATGGCCTTTGAGGACTCTTGTCGATACCATGCACCACAGAACTCTCCTTCTTTCATCCGCCATTTCCGGTATGGGAACCGATGTTTTAATTGCTTGATGGATTCCTCAAATTGTGCCCCGGATCCACCCACGGCTGTATCGTCGACGTGCACACCCATGATACCGATTAGTGCCTCGGATCGACGATCTCGAAGAACAAACAGGCAGGGATCTAGAACACTTTGGCGCCAACCGATGGTCTTAACATATGAACTAAATTCCTTGAACCACGCCGCAGGGGCGTCGTTCTGCCCGTACACGTTTCCGGTTACTTCTATCACTGCGTCTTCTGGCAATCCAGGGATACCCCCTGGTGGTTGGTGTGCGAAAAGTGGCCTAAACGACTCTTCCAGGGGACCGGCCTCGAGGAACGCGCCGCGAATGTCGCCTAACTGCAAATCCCAACCTTGGGACGCAATCACTTGCATGAGGCTCATCCGGCCGAGTTGACTCAGCGTAGGAGACCGCAGCATTCCCTTCTCAGCCTTCACAGTGAGATCTGGGTCGAGGTGACCCTGCAAACACCACCTGCCCTTCACAGTGAAAGTGTCCCAGTTGTTTGGGTCGACTTCAACCCCTTCTTCAAGTGGCTTCCTAGTCAACACGAATCGGCTTCCGATAAAACGATGTGGTTGTTCCGTTTTGATCTTCTTAGCGGCTTTACCATAGTGAATCCGGACTGCATGTGGTTTGGACACAATGGTTTCCCACTCCGTTCGTTTCCCCATTTGGATCTTCTGTTGTAGCTTGGGTGGATTGTTACTATGACGCAATTCCTTGGACATCTTTTTCTTCAGATACTCTGACATGAGGCATTCCCAGGATTGGGTGTCTGCGATGTCCAACAGAGATGACACTTCTTGCACTGACAGGGCCTCCTCCATTCGAGGACGCTGGGCTTCCGGCTCTGACGAAGCGGCTTCTGGAGAACGAGGTCGTTTATCTCTACTCATGATTACATCTTCGACCAGTTGAGGGACCACTTCACGCATCACATCTACAAAATCATCCTGGTTCAGAGCAGCCGGACGCCACAGTGTCATCGGCCCATCTTTACCTGTCACTCTTCTACGAATGGGACCATATGAGGAAGCCGACGATGAATGAGCTGTACTATCAGGTTTCTCTACTTCGGAAGGTGCTTCTACTTCGGCTGGACCATTGCCATTGCTTGATGAGAGTGGCAGACTGTCATCTGGTGGCTCCTCCGGCGGTGACACATTTTCAACCTGGCGAGGAGGTGCAACACTCGCTGATGGTCGATCAGCCTGCATTTGAACGTCGGGTGATTCGGGCGCAGCAACTGGAGCATGGCTTGGATCGGCCGGGGCTATGTCATCATTACCTTCTTGTGGTGGATATGATTGAGGAACAAGATCTAAGTATTGCTTACTTTTCAGGTTTCCCTGAGTGATCATGTCCTTGACCCCAAGCAACTCTGTCTCTGGTGTGGCAATCAAACACTTCTCTTCATTAGTGGCATGACGGACTTGCTCAGGTGCACACCGAATCACATTTCTACGATGTACTAGAATTAGATTTCGACCCACCGTGCCTAGCAACACCGCTACCCCATACCACTGACCCCCTTGTTGGAGATTTCCTTGCGCCCACTTTTGGTTCCTCCAATAAGCGACTAAGTCCCCAGGTTGGAAAGGAGTGCTTGTGCGGGGTCTGGCCAACAGGGCAACACGAAGTGACCTGTCATCTTGCATCTTCACGAGCGCAACACGAGCGGCGGTTCTCATCGCTTGGGCACGAGCAAGGCCTTCATCAGTTAAGGCTGCGGTGCTAGCAATCACGGATTGTGGCTCATTCAACAAGTCATGAGGGATGTGAGGATTTCTGCCAAACACGAACTGGTGAGGGGAGAATCCATGGACCTGAAGCATTTGGTTCTTCACATGGGCATGAGCTACACAATCTAACCATGATTCCTTGCTGTTCGGTTGAAATTCATCAATGAGTTTTTTCCAGGACTCGATTGAACCAACCGCCATGAGATTCACACTTGCCTAGTTGCCAATGAGCTCCGGCAGCAATTGTGCGAACATGGATGCCATCTGCTTCGGCAGGTTTCATCATTTGTTCACCTAAATTAGTTCTAGCAGGATCGAGAACTAACTCCTTTGGCGCTCCAGCCCAGGCAATCCAATGTTCATGCAAAAGCTTCCGAAGGACTGAGGCAGTCTCGGTCTCAAAGAATGGTATCATCCTCTGGAACCCACTCGCTGTGTCCACCAGGTTCACGGCGCGAATCTTTTGATTGGGAAGCCAACCCTTCAAGTGCTTCACATCCATTCCTACCTGATGATTGAACTCGGACACGCGATTTGGTTGGGTTGGCAACGGCGATGTGGGAGGAGCCTGGCTCTTACAGAAGTCACACGAAAACTCTTTCGCCAGCCGGAGCGCTTGTTCTGATGCGTCTCCATGTTTCAAGATTCTCACCATGTCATGGTTTGGAGGATGTCCCAAGTTCTTATGAAGGCGAATCAAAACTGGCGTGAGTTCCTGATCGGACTTGGCCTGACTCTGAGCGGCGGCTAGGATCTCAGTCCACGCATCGGGATGCACAGCATCCTCTAGCACTTCTACTAGACACGCAGGGTGTGCTCGACAGGTGTTAGACGCACCATGTTCTGGATGCTTCTCCCTGAACTTGGCAAGAGTGTTTAACACGGCTTGAACAAATTCTCTAGGATACTGACCAGCATATTCGCTGACCTTGGCAACCCCTGGAGCATGACCAGCTACGGTGTCATGACAGCTGTGCTTAGCATCACCTGTACAGAGAAGTCCTAAAGACTGCATATCGGAGTGCGAAACTAACAGACGGGCGCTCTTACGAATGTAGTGCTCACTGGATGGCAGGCGCAATCCATACCTGCACATGTGCAACTTGACTGTTTCGAATACCCTACACAAACTCTGCATTTCTGGATATGTCCAAAGCCGGGAACCCGTTGGATGTTCAAACATTGCTCTACCACCATTCCTGGTCTGAAGTCGAAACAACTTGCAACACCAACGAATGTACGATCGGCTTTGTGCTCGACGTTTCAGGTATTCCAGTCGATCGCCCTTAGTGCTGTTTAGGTGCACCCATCCGCTCTCATCCGTGCAAGGCGGACACAAGACCAAAAGCTCTGGCGGATCTGTGATCAAATCCTCTTCCACCAGCTTCCTGTCCCGAGAACGACGAAAATCGAATCCGGTCTTTAGGTCATATGATCGCGCACGGAAGCCGGCTTCTTCGGCTTGGATGGCAAAACGTGGTGGGGGAAACACTTCCATAACCAAACATTTACCCCTGGGCCGAGCATGCACTGCTAAACATGTCTTCACCTGCGTGTCGGGATTGATGTGAAGTCAGGTTCAAACTAGATCCATGCTCATCACGTGAGGGATGCGGCACAAACGTGAACACCGTTCGAACATGAGCGAATCTCCCTGGCAAACGGTTGATGATCTTATGTTGGGGTGTCCCTGGATAGACCCTCACATCATCAAGAACCCTCCTAGATTCACAATCAATCACCTTCCTACGGACAACGCTATTCCACTTGGGACCAGTTCTTGACAACCACGGTGTACTAACAACATCACTATTCTCCTGGGTCCAAGTCAGCAAGGAAGGGGCGGCAGGATCAGGTTCACAGGCAATCTCGTCGGCAGGCACGGATGCTGTGGTGCCTGCTGAATCCGGAGGTGCAGTGTTGGACTCCGGTTCAACATCGGGAGCCTCCACTGAAGCCATCACCTCATCGAAAGAGGCAGCAAACACTGGGTCCGCTGGCTGTCCTACCAAGTGAACAATGTACTGTCCGGCACTGTTGGTCTTGAGTGGCACCACTTGTTGAAAAACATGTAAACAGTCTTTCTCAAAATTCAACGTTGCCCCCAAGGCTTTCAATGCTGATCTGCTCAACAACAGGGGGGCGTCCCCCTTGATGATTGCTGCTTTGATCACTCCTCGCTTGGATGCCAGAATGACTGGCATGGCCACCGAATGGGTTGAGGTCTCAATATCACCATTCCCAAACTTAAACTGGTGGATCTCTTCCGTCCATGGAGGGACGGCCCACCCACGCTGTCGCCACAGGGTCTCAAAACAACGAAGGGTGTTGATTCCAACAATCGTTCGGCCACAGCCTGAATCCAGCACGGCATAGCCGGGGGATGATACCAACAAGGTCTCTTCCGGGAGGGGATGCGAAGCAAACAAGGAGTCCTGCCGCTTTTGTCGGACCTGCTCAAGAAGGGTGAGTTGGGGAACCACTGATGCAACAAAATCCAACTCTTCAACGGCAGCAATACCTGTGGTCGAGGCATCATTGGACTTTGAGGAGGAGGATGCGCCTTTCCCTGAGCCCTTCTTGTTGACCTCCTTGGAACGACACTCCCGGGCCCAGTGACCCTTCCTACCACAGCGATTGCATGCAGTGTGCCTTTTCATTTCTTCCACTTCCACCCGAAAGGATCTTCGGACGTCCTTGGCCTTGTTGAACTGTCGGGATTTCTGAAGCTTGTTCAACTCCTGTCGACGTTCACGTGGCGGCCAGGACTTCTGCTACTTCTGACTCCTGAAAGGTGTCTCC